TGTCCCCACCCCATGGCCACTGAGATGTCCCCACCCGTGGTCATGTCCCCACCCCATGGCCACTGAGATGTCCCCACCCGTGGCCATTGGGTTGTCCCCACCCGTGGTCATGTCCCCACCCATGGCCACTGAGGTGTCCCCACCCCGTGGCCACTGAGATGTCCCCATCCCGTGGCCACTGAGATGTCCCCACCCCATGGCCATGTTCCCACCCCATGGCCACTGAGATGTCCCCACCTGTGGCCATTGGGTTGTCCCCTCCTCAGCCATGGGGCTGTCCCTGTTGACCATGGGGCTGTCCCTCCCCCTCCCCAGTCTCTCCCCTCCCCTCCCCAGGCTGTCCCCTCCCCATCCCCAGTCTGTCCCCTCCCCATTCCCCAGGCTGTCCCCTGTTGACCATGGGGTTGTCCCCTCCCCATCCCCAGGCTGTCCCCTCCCCATCCCCAGGTTATCCCCTGTTGACCATGGGGTTGTCCCCTGTTGACCATGGGGTTGTCCCCTCCCCCTCCCCAGTCTGTCCCCTCCCCATCCCCAGTCTGTCCCCCTGCTGACCACGGGGTTGTCCCTCCCCATCCCCAGGCTGTCCCCTCCCCTCCCCAGTCTGTCCCTCCTCACCCCCCCGTCCCTGACCGAGGCAGGCGATGCTGAGGCCGAAGCCGGACAGGGCCATCCCCGCCGCGAAGCGGAAGGCGCAGTAGGAGGCGAAGTTGGGGGCGAAGGCCGTGCAGGTCCCCATCACCCCCAGCTGCAGGTACGACCACAGCAGCAGCGCCTTGCGCCCGAACCTGCAACGGGGAGGCACTGGGAGGCACTGGGAGGCACTGGGAGGCACTGGGAGGTACTGGGAGGCACTGGGAGCCACTGGGAGACACTGGGAGGCACTGGGAGGTAGCTGGGGGCGAAGGCCGTGCAGGTCCCCATCACCCCCAGCTGCAGGTACGACCACAGCAGCAGCGCCTTGCGCCCAAACCTGCAACGGGGAGGAACTGGGAGGAACTGGGAGGCACTGGGAGGCACTGGGAGACACTGGGAGATACTGGGAGGCACTGGGAGGCACTGGGAGACACTGGGAGGCACTGGGAGGTAGTTGGGGGCGAAGGCCGTGCAGGTCCCCATCACCCCCAGCTGCAGGTACGACCACAGCAGCAGCGCCTTGCGCCCAAACCTGCAACAGGGAGCAACTGGGAGGAACTGGGAGATACTGGGAGGCACTGGGAGACACTGGGAGCCACTGGGAGGCACTGGGAGGCACTGGGAGGCACTGGGAGGCACTGGGAGGAACTGGGAGATACTGGGAGGCACTGGGAGGTAGCTGGGGGCGAAGGCCGTGCAGGTCCCCATCACCCCCAGCTGCAGGTACGACCACAGCAGCAGCGCCTTGCGCCCGAACCTGCAACAGGGAGGCACTGGGAGGCACTGGGGGCACTGGGAGGCACTGGGAGGCACTGGGAGGTAGTTGGGGGCGAAGGCCGTGCAGGTCCCCATCACCCCCAGCTGCAGGTACGACCACAGCAGCAGCGCCTTGCGCCCGAACCTGCAACGGGGAGGAACTGGGAGGCACTGGGAGGCACTGGGGCACTGGGAGGCACTGGGAGGCAGTGGGAGATACTGAGAGGCACTGGGAGATACTGGGAGACACCACGTGGCACTGAGTGACACTGGGAGACACTGGGTGACACTGGAAGATACTGGGAGACACTGAGAGGCACTGGGAGATACTGGGAGACACTGGGAGATACTGGGTGACACTGGGTGACAGTGCATGACACTGGGAGATACTGGGAGGCACTGGGAGGCAGTGGGAGGCAGTGGGAGATACTGGGAGATGCTGGGAGGCACTGGGAGACAGTGAGTGACACCAGGAGACAGTGGGTGACACAGGGTGACACAGGGAGCCACTGGGAGATACTGGGAGCCACTGGGTGACACTGGGAGCCACTGGGAGCCCCTGGGTGACACCGGTCAGGGTCTGCCCGGGGACACGGAGGCCGGGGGGGCTGTGCTGCCCTTACCTGTCCGAGAGGCCCCCCAGGACCAGGGCGCCCACCAGGACCCCGGCCATGTAGATGGACTGGGCCATCTGCCGCAGCTGCCGGTAGCCACACACCAGGTCCCACTGCGGGGGAGGGAGACATCCGTCCATCTGTCCATCCCAATGTCCATCCATCCATCCATCCCTATGTCCATCCATCCATCCATCTCTAAATATTCATCTCATCTATCTCTAAAATTCCATCCATCTATCTCTAGAATTCATTCATCTCTAATGTCTCATCTATCTCATCTATCTCTAATGTTCATCTATCTATCTATCTCTAAATCTCATTCATCTATCTCTATTTCTATCTATCTCATCCTAATGTCTATCTCTTCATCTATCCATCTCATCTCAATACTCATCTCATTCTAATGTTCATTCATCTATCTCATAAATCTCATTCATCTATCTCTAAATTATCATTCATTCATCTATCTATCTATCTCATTCATTCATTCATCTATCTATCTATCCATCTAATATCTATCTATTCATTCAATACTCATCTACTCCATTCTAATCGTTCATCTATCTATCCTATTGTCTCATCCATCTATCTATCTATCTCTAAATCTATCTCATCTATCTCTAACTATCTCATTCATCTATCTATCTATCTATCTATCTATCTCATCTATCTCTAACATCTATCTATCTCTAATATTCATCCATCTCTAATGTTCATTCACTCTATCCTAATGTTCATCTATCTCAATGTCTATCTACCTATCTATCTCTAATATTCATCTCACTTCATCTCTAATGTCCATCTACCCATCCATCTATCTACTCATCTCATCTCATCTACCTATCTCTAATGTTCATCCATCTATCTCTAATGTCTCATCTACCTATCTAACATTCATCTATCTCTAATGTTCATCTACCTATCTCAATGTTCATCTACCTATCTCTAATGTTCATCTACCTATCTACCTATCTCTAATGTTCATTCATCCATCTCATCTCATCTACCTATCCATCTATCTATCTATCTCATCCTATCTACTCATTCATCCATTCACCTATTCATCCATCTACTCATCTCAATGTTCATTCATCCATCCTAATGTTCATCTCACCATTCATTCATTCATCTCTAACATTCATCCATCTCAATGTTCATCTACCCATCTCTAATGTTCATCCACCCATCCCAATGTCCATCCACCCATCCACCCATCCCAATGTCCATCCATCCATCCCAATGTCCATCCACCCATCCCAATGTCCATCCACCCATCCCAACATCCATCCATCCCAATGTCCATCCACCCATCACAATGTCCATCCCCCCATCCATCCCAACATCCATCCATCCATCCATCCATCCATTCATCCATCCCAAAATTCATCCATCCCAATGTCCATCCATCCATCCCTCCAAACATCCCAACATCCATCCCAATGTCCATCCATCCATCCATCCCACCATCCTTCCCTTCCTTCCTTCCTCCTCTCCTCTCCCACCCCTCGTCCCTCCTCCACCTCGGTGACGATGGTGGCCACGTAGACGCTAGATCGTAGTCCCAGCCGTCCCGGCAGGGCTCGGTGCTGCCGTTGGCGCCCACCAAGCGCCAGCAGGACCCCAGGGTGGCCTCGGGGGACCCCAGGGTGGCCTCGGGGGACCCCAGGGTGCCGTTGGAGGCGTCACGGGGTGTGACAATGTGGGGTGGGCGGCACTGGGGGACACTGGGGTGGCATCGGGGGACACCGGGGTGGCATCAGGGGACACCGGGGTGGCATCAGGGGGTCTCAGGCGGGCACTGGAGGCCCCGGAGGTGACATGGGGGGTGGTCGGGGGTGGCCCCGGGGTGGCCATGGGGACATCAGGGGTGGTCATGGGGACACCAGGGGGTCGTGGGACACTCGGGTGGCCATGGGGACATGGGGGTGGCAGAGGGGACACCAGGGTTGGCCGTGGGGACACCGGGGGTGGCAGAGGTGACACCAGGGGTGACACTGGGGACATCAGGGGTGGCAGAGGGGACACCAGGGGTGACAGTGGGGACACCGGGTGGCTGTGGTGACACCGGGGTGACAGTGGGACACCGGGGTGGCAGGGGGACACCGGGTGGCAGAGGGACACTGGGGGTGGCAGGGGGACGGCAGCGGTGCGGGGGGACGGCGGCAGTGAAGTTCTGGAGCAGGTTGTGGCTGGCCATGAGCAGGATGGGCACCGCCAGCAGCGCCGTCTGCAGCACCTGGAACCGGCCCAGGCCCCCCACCTGGGCCAGCAGAGCCCCGAACGCCATGGGCAGGGACACACAGGGGACAACTAGGGACACTGGTACACTGCGGGGACAGTGTCACCCATGGGGACACCACGGGGACACCACGGGGACACCGGTACCCTGCAGGGACACTGCGGACATAGGGGGACAGTGGGGACTAGTGGGACAGTGTCACCCATGGGGACACCAGGGACACTGGGGACACTGCAGGACAGTGGGGACAGTGCTACCATGGGAACACCACAGGACACCACCAGGGGACACATGGTGGAGACACTGCAGGACAAGGGGGGACAAGGGGGGACAGTGTCACCCATGGGGACACCAAAGGGACACTGTGGGGACACTCGCAGACAAGATGGGTGACATAGTGTGGGACAGTGTCATCCATGGGACACCACAGGGACACTGGGGGACAAGTGGGACAGTGGGGGACAGGCCACCCATGGGGACACCAAAGGGACACTAGTGGGGACACGAGCAGATTGGGGACAGTGTCACCCATGGGGACACCGACAGACACCGCAGGACACTGCAGACAAGGGGGGACAGTGTCACCCATGGGGACACCACGGGGACACTGTGGGGACACTGTGGGACTAGGGACAGGGTAGTGCACTCATGGGGACACTGTGTGGGACACTACTGGAGCAGTAGACAAGTAGTCACCCATGGGGACACCACGGGACACTGCAGGACAAGGGGGGACTGGGGACATGGGGGACAGTGTCATCCATGGGGACACCACGGGGACATGACTGGGGACACGGAGATGGGTGGGGATGCACCATGGGATTGGTGGGGGACAGTGTCACCCATGGGGACACCACAGGGACACTGCAGGACAAGGGGGGACAGGGGGACAGTGTCACCCATGGGGACACCAAAGGGACACTGTGGGGACACTGCAGGACAAGGGGGGACAATGTCACCCATGGGGACACCATCATCCACAGGGACACTGCTGGACATGGGGACACCAGGACATGAGGACACCACCCTTGGGGACACCGGGGTTTGGGGACACCATCAGCCTTGGGGACACCATCACGGGGCCACCCCCAGGGCCACAGGGACACGGGACAGGGGGAGTGGGGACACCACCAGGAGTGGGGACAGGGGACAAGGGGAGGGGGACAGACATGGGGAGGGGACAGGATGGGGACAGGGACCGGGATGGGGACAGGACACGGAGGGGACACAGATGGGGACAGGGGACAGGGATGGGGACAGGGGACACGGGAGGGGACACAGATGGGGACAGGAGGACCCAGAGGGGACCCAGAGGTCGTGGTGACCCTGATGGGTGTGGCTGAACCTCAGCGGTGTCACCACTTGCGTCGCATGTCCCCAACCCTCCCATGTCCCTGTCCCCTCCGATGTCCCTCAACCCTCCTGCTGTCCCTGTCCCTCTGCTGTCCCTAACCCTCCTGATGTCCCCAACCCTCCAGATGTCCCCAACCCTCTGATGTCCCCAACCCTCCCGCTGTCTCCTGTCCCTCTCCTGCTGTCCCTGTCCCCCTCCTCGATGTCCCCAACCCCTTCCTGCTGTCCCCAACCCTCCTGATGTCCCCAGCCCCTCCTGCTGTCCCTGTCCCTTCCCGATGTCCCTAACCCTCCCAATGTCCCCAACTCCCTCTCCGATGTCCCCAGCCCTCCCTGATGTCCCTAACCCTCCTGATGTCCCTAACCCTCCCCGATGTCTCTGTCCCTCCTGATGTCCCTGTCCCTCTCCCTGATGTCCCTAACCCTCCCGCTGTCCCTGTCCTCTCTTGCTGTCCCTAGTCCCCTCCTGCTGTCCCTGTCCCCTTCCCGATGTCCCTGTCCCTCCCTGATGTCCCTGTCCCCTCCCCTATGTCCCTGTCCCCTCTCGCTGTCCCTAACCCCTCCCGATGTCTCCAACCCCTCCAGATGTCCCCAACCCCTCCTGATGTCCCCTAACCCCTCCTGCTGTCCCTGTCCCCTCTTCCTGATGTCCCTGACCCCTCCTGATGTCCCTTCTGTCCCCTCTCCCTGATGTCCCCAACCCTTCCCGCTGTCCCTGTCCTCCTCCTGATGTCCCCAACCCCTCCAGATGTCCCCTGTCCCCTTCCTGATGTCCCCAACCCTTCCTGCTGTCCCCAACCCCTGATGTCCCCAACCCCTTCCCGCTGTCCCCAACCCCCCGATGTCCCCAAACCCTCCCCGATGTCCCCAACCCCCTGATGTCCCCAACCCTCCTGCTGTCCCTGTCCCCTCCCGATGTCCCCAACCCCTCCTGATGTCCCCAACCCTCCTTGATGTCCCCAACCCCTCCTTCGATGTCCCCAACCCTCCTGCTGTCCCTGTCCTCCTCCTGCTGTCCCCCAACCCCCTCCTGCTGTCCCTGTCCCTCCCGATGTCCCCTAACCCCTCCAGATGTCCCCTGTCCCCTCCCTGCTGTCCCCTGTCCCCTGCCCCCACCCCGGTGGCTCCTGGGGACAACGGGGACATCCGGCCAGCTGTGCCCTGTGTCTCCCAAGTGGAAGGGCCCCTGCGATGTCCCCAACCCCTCCCTGATGTCCCCAACCCCTCCCGGATGTCCCCAACACCCTCCTCGATGTCCCCAACCCTCCCCTGATGTCCCCAAACCCCTCCCCTGATGTCCCCAACCTCCTCCGATGTCCCCAACCTCCCTCGATGTCCCCTAACCCCCTCGATGTCCCCAACCCTCCTCGATGTCCCCAACCCCCTCGATGTCCCCAACCCCCTGATGTCCCTCAACCCCTCCTCGATGTCCCCAACCCTCCCTCGATGTCCCCAACTCCCCTGATGTCCCCAACCCCCTGATGTCCCTCAACCCTCCTCGATGTCCTCCAACCTCTCCCTGATGTCCCCAACCCCCCAATGTCCCCAACCCCTCCCCCGATGTCCCCAAACCCTCCATAATGTCCCCAACACCCCCCGATGCCCCCAAACCCTCCATAATGTCCCCAACCCCCTCGATGTCCCCAACCCTCCTGATGTCCCTCAACCCCTCCCGGGACCCCTGATGTCCCCGATTTGTCCCGGAGGTCCCTCCGTGTCCCTCCCTGTTCTGGGGTCCCTCCGTGTCCCTCCTGTGTCCTCACCTGCCACGGGGTCCTCCCCTGTCCCCTCCCCTGCTCTTGGGTCCCTACCCTCTCTCCCCACCTGCCCTGGGGTCCCTGCGTGCTCTCCCTGCTCTGGGGGTCCTTCCTGTGTCCCTTCCCCTGTGTCTCTCACCTGCTCTGGGTCCTGAAGGTCCCTCCTGTTCTGGGGTCCCTCCGTGTCCCCCTGTGTCCTCACCTGCTCTAGGGTCCTGGGGTCCCTGTGTGTACCCTCTACTCTGAGGGTCCTCTGTGTCCCTCTCTGTTCTGGGGTCCCAGGGTCCCTGTGCGTCTCTCCTCGCTCTGAGGGTGCCTGCGCCTCTCCCCTGCTCTTGGGGTCTCCTCTCTCTCACTCTCTTCCGGGGTCCTCTCTGTGCCCTCTGCTCTGGGGTCCTCTCCTGTGTCCCTCGTGTCCTCACTCTGCTCTGGGGTCCTGAAGGTCCCTCCCTGTGTCCCCCCTCTCTCACCTGCCCTGGGGTCCTCTCCTGTGTCCTCCCCTGCTCTTGGGGTCCCCACCCTCTCCTCCACCTGCTCCTGGGGTCCTGCGTGCCCCTCTGCTCTGGGGATCCCTCCTGTGTCCCTTCCCTCTGTGCCTCACCTGCTTGGGGTCCCTGAAGGTCCTCCCTGTTCTGGGGTCCCTCTGTGTCCTTCCTGTGTCCCCCTCCTCTCACCTGCTCTGGGGATCCCTCCTGTGTCCCCCTCTGTTCTGGGGTCTCTCTCGCATCCTCAGTGTCCCTACCTGCTCTGGGGTCTTGGGTCCTCCTGTGTCCCCGTGTCTCACCTGCCTCGGGTGCCTCAGTGTCTCACCTGTTCTGGGGTCCCTCCTGTGTCCCTCCTGCCGTGTCTCACTCTGCCCTGGGTCCCTCCTGTGTCCCTCGCTCTGGGGGTCCTCTCCTGTGTCCCCCCGTGTCTCACTCTGCTCTGGGGTCCCGAAGGTCCTTCCTGTTCTGGGGTCCCTCCGTGTCCCCCTGTGTCCTCACTCTGCTCTGGGGTCCCTCCTGTGCCTCCTTCCGCTCTGGAGTCTCCCTCTTCTCTCACCTGCTCCTGGGGTCCTTTCCTCGTCCTCCTCGCTCTGGGGTCTCTCTCTCACTGTTCCTGGGGTCCCTCTGTGTCCTCTCTGCTCTTGGGGTCCCTACCTCTCTCTCACCTGCCCTGGGGTCCTCGTGCCTTCTCTGCTCTGGGGTCCCTCCTGTGTCCCCTCTCGTGTCCTCACTCTGCTCTGGGGTCCTGGGGCCCTTGTGTACTCTCTGCTCTGAGGGTCCTCTGTGTCCCCCTGTTCTGGGGTCCCAGGTCCCTGTGCGTCCTCTCTGCTCTGAGGGTCCCT